TTGAGCTCAAGTTGGATGAGTTACGCGTAGTAAATCGTAGGTATTATAAGGCTAGTAAATGACGAATTTCCCTTGTTTATTGAAGTCACACTCCTTCCCTTTATCTACTCCTGATATATAATTATATATGTATATATATATATACACTCGATATATTACAACGGCAGGGATGTGGATTACCTCCGTTCTCCGTGATGAGACTCTGTATCTGCGGCTGTGTTTCCTCGTCAAAGCCGAAGACGGCAAACGTCTTGTCGCGAAACACCATGACCTCCTCCTCCTCCTGCTCCTCCTCCCCGTGCTCCTCCCCCTCTTCCTCGTCGCGCTCTGCCACTTGGACTGTGACATCCACATCTGCAGGCGTACGAATGCACCGAGATGTCAACCGAGAATTTGACTTCCTTCGCGAGAAAGAACAGATGGAAGAACTGCCTCGAAGCGAACAAAAAGCAGACGGCGAACAACGATACCGTCGAACGTCGTGTTCAGAGTCCGAATCAGGAGAGAGCAGCGCCACCTATAACACTGATGTGTGCACGCGTAGTAGGAGTAGGACGATTCATCGATATATATAATGATACAAACTTGACGATACACGCTTATATATCCAAACGCTTGACCATTCACAACACACGTGTCGATACTGACTAAAATCCATATCATTTAGTAGCAATAGTTTGATCCAGAAACAAAAGAAATAACACAATTTGAATTCCTTAGCAATTGTTTACTAAGCGCTCCGCGATACCGATTCGGAAACATTCACGAGATTAGTAAAGTATCGGTTAAGTGTATAGTTCATTAGGTAGTTTCTCTTGAAGGTATCGCAATACGCATCCTATCACGAAGGTTGTATCGGGACACAGCTCGCATCGTGAGCTACGCGTATCGTCCCGTCGATACTGGGTAGGTTACCTGGTGCTGTCGTGGCGTGCTGCTGTGGCGGCGGCTCTGTGAAATCTTCCTGCATCGCTTTAAGGAGGGTGCTGTCACCCAGTCCGCCGGCCATCGACGCACCTGCTGCATCGCAAACATCCGTCACCACCCACCCGCGATCTTAGTCGAACAATCACGGGATTTGTCAAGGCGTTTCAACCAGTGTAGCCACACCGACCGAAATCCGACTGGGTTTTTAAAGATGGTCGAGTTGAGATGCCGGGTGTATGCAGAAACAACCAGTTAGAGTGCAAGAGTCCCAGTTAAAACCAGCTATGTGCGATGAAGTTCGAATTGATTTTGGTTTTTGGATTAATTTAGAATACTTTGAAGAATAATGTGTGGACTACTCCTCGATGTCAGGCACGTTTAGAGATGTAAGTAAGTGTGGCTAAGGTTAAACAAACCTGGCTTGTCCTGTGGTAGATACTGGCTCATCAGGGACATGTCGTCTGCCCCTGTGACTGGTGCTGTCACAACGCTTACTTCTTCCGTAGGTTGATCTGTCAATTTCTTTCTGCTATAAGCATGCAAATATATAAATATATAAATTATGAATAAGATTGATGAATAAAAAATGTATCAATTCATTAATATATATAGCATATATATAGACATATACATATGCATATACATATACATATACACGCACGCACGTACGCATGCACACACGAATGCACACGCACATGCACACGCACACGCACACGCACACACACAAGTGAATTGATAAATTTCCGCCCTCCCTGTCGGGCCTCACCTTCGCTGCGGCGGCGGGCCGCTTGGCTGGTCCAGGTCCAGGCACACGTAGTTGTGCGGGTCGAGCACCACTCCCTTCATGCTGCTGTCGACCATCCACTGTGGCGTGACAACCGCTGGCCTGCGAGAGACGCACGAGCCAGGTCACGCGACGCGACACGTCATAATTAAGCTAATCTCAACTGGTGTAACGCTTAACGTTAAAGCCCGGCGCACACGCGAGTTATTTTACTCAAGTAAAATGACGCATGAGTCATTTTACTGACGTGTGCGGCGGATTTTCGTTGAGTAATTTGACTCATGCGTCATTTTACTTGAGTAAAATAACTCACGTGTGCGCCGGGCTTAAAGCACCGAAATAGCAACCCAGTGATGGCCCCACCTGCCAGCACTGCTGGCGCCACCTACATTGTACTGCAGGCGCCATCTACCTTGCACTGCTGGTGCCACTTATCTCGCACTGCCTGCCCTGCCTACACCATACTGCAGGCGCCACCTACCATAGCTGCTGGCGCCATCTAACTTGTATTGCCGACACCGACCTGTGCTGCCTACCACATACTGTTAGCGCCACCTACCTCACACTGCTGGCGCCACCTGCTTTACACTGCTAGCACTGCCTACCATGTACTGCTAGCGCCACCTACCTCACACTGCTGGCGCCACCTGCTTTACACTGCTAGCACTGCCTACCATGTACTGCTAGCGCCACCTACCTCACACTACTAGCGCAGGGTT